GGTCAATCAATAGTCATCTTGTAGAGCGTTTTTTACTGCATCTTTTCTTCATAGAGACAAATTTACTATCACTTGTTTCACTATAGAAAAATTTATTATTCAAATCGGGTCAGGACTTCTGGGCCACCCTTTATGTCATATAATAGAGTTTAACTGTTTAACTTCGATGTCCATAAGATAATATTAAAATATGTCGAGTCATAGTCATCGCATAAAAATCTGTGAAAGTCAAAGCGTTCTTAAATTTGAAATCATGCAAAGTGACTGCAATGAAGGAGGATAATAAAAAGTTTATCTAGTGACCGTCTTTCTATTTTTACTTGATTCCCCGAGCGAAAAATGACTTATTAAACCCATATTATATATGGTTTGAGCGCAGGTATTGTATTTTACGTCTACAATCCATAGTTGGAAATGTAAATTACAAATTCACTACCTTGCTTGTTTTATTTTATAAATAAACTCATCATAGAGACAAAAGTGGGGGCAAATACGATTAGTTACGATTTATGTAGCAAAATAATAAAAAAAAAGAAATATATACGAATATCGAAATGCACGATGAAGTATAGTCTATGTTAGACGCACATAACAATTTTCATCTATGATTTGCAGTTATTCTGGTACACCGTTAGCAGAAATTAATTTTCAGTTTATGGAAAATCGATTATAAAATTATCAAGCATTTTCCAATTTTTATAAAACTGTTAATTATTCTATAGTTAATAAAAGACCCAGATTTTGTATTTTATAGAAAATACATGCGATTTTTTAAGATGTCAACTTTGTAGTAAGTAGAAAATGTTTAAGAATTTTCTATAGTTTGAAAAATCGTTTAATTTTCTATCTTCCTTGATTTTTGAGAGAACTGACCCATTTTCTGAAAGTTCAAATACATAACTATCCAATTCTGTTGAAATGCAGCGATTTTCTAGAAAATGAAATTCGACTTTTCATAAATTCAAAATCGCAAGCTCTTGTGCACACAAGAGCTTGCAATAGATTAAGGATAGAGAAAATAAAAGCGTGTACAGTGGCTAGAAATAAAGTAATGACGGAAAAATGACTAATGTAGATTTATTTGTTTTATTTCTTATGGGTTGATTGTTTTTAATCAATTTAATTGGGTGGAAAATTTGATTTGAAATCTCAACAGCGCCTCGCTGTGTTCTGCATTGTTCCAGACAGACGGTGATTTGTTTTATTTTCCGACCAAGAGACTGTTTCCCGGTATTATAAACCTGATTAGTACCGTACACTAGCTATCGTTTAAATATCTCATTTCTTCTCCGTTTCTTTATAATTGACTGCTTAAAATTGTGTTTCTTTAGTGAGCCAGTTTTTTGCTCGAAAAAAAGGAACGCTCTTGTCTGTACATTGTATGCGTAATGTGCAGTCCTCTGGGATATTTCAGCCCATTATGGCCTTATAGTTCAAAGGGCTTGATCAGTTTGAACAGAAAGAAAAGCATCCCTAAAGTGGATCTTTTCCTTCTGTTTCTTTAAATCATTGAAACCAGTCTTGTGGAACGTGAGGCTATGCTCTTTTTGGAAGTATTTTAATTGCTCTTTCATATGTATTGCAATCTCGTAAGAGTCCTCGCTCTCTAACATCCATTGTCCTTATTTATTTTCTTGTTTTGTTCCATTTATCACTGGAGTAGCCAATAACAAGTTATCAAATGGGACGAGATAAGCAAGACGAATACACATAAAAAAAGAAAAACCAGAAAATGATTTAGTATTTATGAAATCGATTTTATAGTTTATGAAAATTAATTCCAGTTTTCAATTTTTCAAGAATGTCTATACGCTTTCGTTGATGACTTTCTAATTTTCAAAAGATTGAAAGCTATTTTTCAAAAAATTGACGATTTTACTATGAAATTAATATGGGTTCTGTAGAAAATGCAGAGTTCTAGAAATTCAGATTTTCTAAAAATTGGAAAATCTTATATAACAGCATATTGACATTCTTAGAAAAACATATATTATTTTCTACTTTAGAGTGTACAGATGAAGAAAGACCGTTGCTAGTGCATAAATTGAAGGACAATGATGAGAAGAAAAAAATATTTCAGATAATTGGTCTGAAAATGACTTTTTTTCTGTAAAAGTAAATTGTTAACGAGTTTATGATGAATATATTCATTTATGTATATAGTATTACTAAGTCATTATTACAAAAGAAAAATGAAAATTGATTTTATATAGGATGTGTTTGTCGACAAATATGATGTAGTTATTTTCGTCTCACTTGTAAGAAACAAGACGTTTATCATCACAAAAAGTTTTAGTGCACAAGAAAAAAAAGCAGAAAGTTTTTACTATTTTGAACCGGTTAAAGAAACAACAAAAGAACTGTTTACGATAAAAAAAAATGTAGCATAAGAGCGCTCAATACTTTAACAATTGGTACGTAAAGATCGTTTTTTCTTAAATCAATGTTGTAAAAAAGAAAGTTTTGTTAAAAACAATTTGTTTTATTGTGTGCAGTTTTCCTGCGGCAGCATCCAACATAGAATAGTATTGATTAGTTCGCCGTTCTCATTTCGGGAGAGTATGGTTCATTGTACTCTGTATTTAGTTTATAATCAGTCTTCAAGGATAGTTTCGTTGGACACACAAATATATGAACTGAATTACTTGTTCTTCTCTTTATATAATCAACTCCTCGCAAGAAATTTGAGTGTAAATCGATTCACGAATTTACCAGTGTACATCTATAGTTTAAAATGAAACTCTTCGCTAAATTAAAGTAAAATAAATTTCTCTGAGTAACTATATTTAACTTGCTAAGATCAACGAAACAACAATAGCTACTTACTATTGTTACTCATCACTTTGAAGAACTCGAAATAAAAAACTGATCCACAGTGTCCATCTCCACCGTATTATAGTGAAGCTTGTAGAAAGTAATCAGTTTTGCCTTAAAACTTCACGTTAAATGGAATATAAGTTTATTCCGTTTTAAATGAAGTTGTATTGTGATGAAACTTTATCCATTTTTTAGATAGATGTGGACTAAACATAATGACTGTTCTATCTCCTCATGAGCGAATTACATGCAGCTTTTCTTTCATGCCATTGAGATTCGAGTGTGGTCTTTGCATAACTGCAACAAAAAAACTTATCTTAACACATTACATCTTTTTAGTTTTTGAAATAATTGTGGTAATTTTATGAGTCGTTATTATTATTCTGATTCTGATGACTCTTATCAGACACGTCGGTACCATCCGACTACAAACACACGTCATTATATTCAGCGAAATGGTTGGACATCGGAACATCAACCTATATCATCAAGAGATGATCAGTCGATGATACGAATTGTTGTAGATTCTCCATATCCTCAAAAATGTGACTTTTTTATCGATATATCCAAGCCAGGAAAAATTATCGTTACCGCTCGTCGTCGTCAGCCATCATCAGCAAATTCCTCTAATTATGTTGATTATCCAAAACAACAAGATGTTATACAAACATATGAAATTCCACATGATGCTGATGTAGATCGGTTAATAAGGTATGTTGAACGAGATGGAAATTTAATTATCAAAATACCACGTCGACAATATTCCTACAGAGATTCTTTTAATAGTAATAACATGAATATGAGTCGGCCTAGAGTTGTTAATAATTATGAAGTTGAACAAATGTTAACGTCACCGACTTCTGCACCATCGATAATAAGAGATAGAAATTCATCAAATCGGCATGGTGGTAAGAAAAAACTTGAATATAGGATCGATTGTAAAGGCTATGAACAAGAAGATCTTGAAGTATTTATTCAAGGGCACAATCTCATTGTTCAAGGTGAACGTAAAAGTACAAATTCAAATAGAAATGTGTCAAAAAAGTTTTCAAGAAAAATTTCTCTACCACCAGATGTCGATCTATCTAAAGTAGTCAGTTATTTAGATCCAGGAATTAATGGTGGTGAATTGCGTATAGAAGCACCATTAAATGAAAGACGGTCACACACTATACGACAACGAGACTATCAAAGTGACGAATATGAGAATCACTTTCCACAACGTTCACCGTCGTTAGATTTTGATAGAAAAACCAAACAACAAAGACGTCATAGACATGGAAACTACTACGAATATCGACCTGGTCCGAGCAGACGTGTTCGCTCAGCGGATGGAAATCGTAATCCATTGCACGTGTCATCAGATGCTGATGATTTTGATGCTTCGCCACGACCAAGAAATCCACGTAGAAGAGTACAAAATTATGAAAGACAAATAATAGACCATAATCCGAGAAGTAATTATGAATATCATTCGTCGCGTACGACGAATCATAAAGACGGCGATTTAAGATTTTGAGAGATGTTAACAAGGTAGATTTTGATCAAAACTTACGCTTTAATTAGTTTTTATGCTTTATTGTAGTGTAGACTTATCAATGTTTTCTTATACAAATATGCGATCCTATTACCGGATAACATCAGTACAACTTAAATATTATATGAGGACTGAACTATCTGTAGTTTATAAATTTATATATGTAAAAGCTAATTCAACTGGTAAAAAATAGTGAAATTCGTACCACACACGTTTTTATGCAAAATATGGAATACTGTTGTTGTATGAACATTTCTATAATAGTATCAATAATTCCAAATGAATAATAGTATGAATATGTTACTTAAGCCGTGAACACTATTAAGTACATTCTGAAAATTTACAGTCAAAATAGTGTTCGTCGTTAAGTTATTGAATTTTTATAGAAAAATTGAAAAATAGCAAAGATCATTTTGTTCCAGCATAGACTTCATATTTAATAAATCTTTAGTAGTCTCTGGTTATGGTGGAATCTTTTCAAAACATAAACAGTTCTACCCAACAGCTCTTTTTTCAGCTCTTTCCATCGCAAAAAGAATCGGATCAAAAAAATAAATTCTAAAGCTATAGAAAGATCATTATAAAAAGGGGTAAGTTTTTTTTGACCATCCTGTACATAGGATGGCTGCTCTGTAATGTTTATCATTAGCAATGTTAAGTAAATATAACTCAACATTGTGAAACTGTAAAAGATACGAGAAACAGTAACGACTATAGTAGATTTTTTATATTTATAACATAATCTGGAAAAAAACGTACTTCACCTACTATCCATTTCAGAATAGAATGTACGTGGCTACTCTTTGAATAACTCGGAAATGAAAAGAGCCGGAAACCTGCAATATGTTGCTCCAAGTTTTACTTTAAATGCCAGAAACGCAGATCTCTAGCTCTTTTCATTCCCGAAGAAAAATCAGAACAGGATAATATAAATAAGCACACAGCTAGTTGAACTTAATAATTACAAAACTCCTTGATTTGTCAAAACTGGTTCAAATTTGGCATTTTTAGTATCGAAACTGTAGGTGGCAAAATCTAATTCATCAGATTTTCGTCCTACAACGCTGCGTTGCTCTAAATACCGCCCTAGAAAAATATACAAAATCATTTTTAACTTAAAAAACATTGGCCAGCTACTTCTTACGTACCTAATGCTTCACAATATGGCAGAGAAATGCTGCGATTCCAATAGGGCGTTTCTGTTTGTAAGAGTTCACGTATACTTTTTGCGATGAACTGGAATAAAATTCAGTATACGTATAACCCTTATATTAAGCAGTCAAATAACTACTTACTATTATATGTTTAAACTCGTTAATACCCAATAAATTTAGATGTGATGCATCACACCAGATCAACCGACGACCGTCGACTTTATTTCGAAGGAAACATTCCTATAGTAGAACAAGTTTAATTTCAGCTCATTCAGTATTAGCAACTTTTTTGCTTTTTTCTAAAAGCAGTGGCGGCGCGAAGAGGTTGAGAGCATCGGGGGGGGGTAAATCCAAAAATGGGAGTAAGATCCTCAAAAATAAGCCCCTGATTCTCCGAGCTCATGTGAAGTATAAATAATTGATGAGTATTACTCATTAAGTTTGCCTAAACGTTACATTCACTGTAATTTTTTCAGACGTAGGCGGAAAAAAATAGAAATAAGTCATCTAAGTCGGTTAAGAAAGGTTCTTCAAAGAACACATTTAATATCAGTTTTCAGAGAAAGCAGCACTTTAGTATTCGAAAAAGCCAAAATCGGAGTAAATCATCCCTCAGGTTTCTCCGAAATTCGGAGTAAATCATTCTTATCTTTTCTCAAATTATGAGTCAACCGTTCTTAGTTTTGTTCAAAATCGGAGTAAATCACTCTCCGAGTTTCTTCGAAATGAGAGTAAATCGTTCTTATCTTTTCCCAAATTTGGGAGTAAATCGCTCATATTTTTTTCACAAATTGGGAGTAAATTTGACCAAATTTTTAAAAAAGTATGCGGGGTAACTCCCATCCCTCCCGGTCGAGCCGCCACTGTCTTACAGGCACTCTAACCTTATATTGTGGAAAACCTAACAATTCAATAAAATTTGCCACATCGTCACAGGTCCAATACACCGCTGCAGCTACCTGACTAGATTCTATGTCACGCTGTTTTGTACGTTCAACAGCAACCTGGTTAACAGACCGATCTAATTTATTAATATCAGCCATCGTAATTGCCATGTTAGCCATTATCGAAAATTTAATTAGTATTATTAAATTGATAAAATCTGGTAGTAAAAATCTTAAAAAAGTATGCCCGTAATTAAAAAAACGGTGAACAAAGAATAGGATCTTCAGCAAAGTGACCATAGATGACATGGTGAGTTCAAAGGAAATTGATGCTCTTCTCTCCTAATTGAATTACGGAATACATGTTGATGCAAAGTGTCTAGAGTGCAGTCCATTCCATTTTACTTCCGTAGTTTGCTGAATTAGTTTCTACTCGTTCCAATTCTCCTTATCTTCTTAACAGTCTCTTTGGGTATCCAACGTAAGCAACGGGGTACTTCACAGCATAGATTTTGTGCAATGTCATTGAGTAGCTGCCTCCTTGGATTTATCTATCAAGATCAGAAGGATCAAAATCACAGGAATGTTACCATCAGTATAAAACTACGATATCGTCACTAGGTAACCACAGTTTTAGAGATGAAAGTGTAAGATCTACAGTTAAAATTTTCATAAAGTTATTTACGCTAAGTAATACATCCATTACTTTTCTTAGAACAGTATTGGCATTACGAGATGTCGCTCTAAACGTTCCACAAACGGACAACCACAACAAGCGCGACAACGTAATTTTTATAACATATGTATACAGGAAACTACAAAGACATTATGCAAAACATTTAGTTCTACACGTAAATTTCTAGAAAAATATCGAATAAATATCGCTTTCCAAGCTTTTCGTTTCTGTAATCACGTTGAGCGGACAAAATTCAGCATATGCTAAAGTGTTCACCTTTCTGTGATGTGAGTAAGTTAATAAGTTTTTAATATAACATAAGGTGAAAACAGCCTGGAAATTCTGGTTTCGCAAACCGTTTTCAAAAACAAACGTTGCTGTCGTACTCAGCGTGTACGATTACATATGTTTCATGCTATTTCAAGGTTACCTCTAGTCACTATGTACTATTATTGAGACTCAAAATAAATCCGTCTGAGGTTAGCAGACCTTTAATTAAACTTTTTCATCCAGGATGAGAACCAAATGAGATGTACGATTTTGTAGAATATGGCGTTGCAGAACTAGACAATTATCTCAAGTCCATTGAAAGAGTACACGTGAACACAAAATTTTGTCTGATCGTTTCCCATGATTTCTTGACAGACTGTGTATGACCCTCAAAAGTTTTGCTGTTCCTCAATGCTTTTTTTCTAGAGGTAAATTTACTTATAAGCACTTGTCTCACTTCACAAGTACTTGTTCAAATACTTGCGAAGTAAAGCTGTTAGTCCTGTCATAAAGTCTTTTATAGTAATACAATTAAGTATTGCGACCTTGTAGAAGCACATATAAAAGTTCATGGCAAGTAAGTAGTCTCAAAAATACTTGTTAGTTCTACAAGTACTTATCAAGTAATCAAGTGTTTATTCAAGTACGTCTACTAAGGTTCATCTCTACTTTACCGAAATTCAGTTATCGTAGCGACTATCTCGAATAGTATTTGTAGTGGTGAGGGATAATATTTTGAGTTATTTATTCAAAAACATATGTATCTTTAGCCATTTTTGATAATTTTTATTCCAGGATCACTGTTATTATTACAGTTAACTACTTACAATAACTTTCGCGGTAATCTTCTCAGTAACATCAATCGATATTAAGTGCCGTATTTAATTTCAATCGTTGTGTTTAAATTGGATAAATTTAATTATACGACGTTATGATAGTTCCATTTTGAGTTCAATATATTAATTTATATTAACCGTTTTTCTAAAGAATTATTTCGTAATGATTGACGAAAAACAATATGGGTTGAGTTGTGATTGCTGATGACAGTATAACAGTTATCGTTGCTGTGTATTAAGTAATATTCGGAAGATATTGATCTCTCTGTATGGTACTTTTTTTGTACACTGTATTGTAGATAAGCAAGAAATTCATCCCTCTTTTCATAAGTGACATAGCTGATGCATAGCTTGTTGAAATAAATATCTATTTTCTGTTTTCTGGCATACGATTGCTATAAACAATTTATTTTATCCTATATTTTTTATTATTTTCGTAATACATCATAAATTATTCTAGTGCGCAATTAGAGACCATTTACCTCTCAAATACTCAAATGTTCATTATACTACGTCGTCATAGTATTACTCAAAACTAAAGACAAACATCGATATAGATTCATCTCTCATCTGATATCGTAGTGTAACTAGTTTTGATAAAAGAGAAAATATAGCTTCACACAGTTTCTCACTTTTTGATAATCGTCGACGGATCTGGTTCAATCTGGATTCACAACGGTTCCTTTAGAACAAAAAAGGAATGTCAGACATTTTTAAGAGGATTATTGAGAAAAAAAGAGGAGCGACTATTTTGTAAAAACAGTATTCTCAACGTTGTGTCCATATCGATATGGTTAAGATGACTAAACAATTTTTTCCGTGTTCCATTAGCAAAAAATGAGAAAAACATGCTCATCAGTGCCGGTTCAAGACGTTCAAAATGGGGAGAAATCGGAAAAAAATTTACGCTGGCCAATCTTTTTTTCAAATTTTTTTATTCATTTTGCTATAAAAAGAAAAATTTATGATTATTGGGGATCAGTCCCCTTCTCCTATAACAGATACAATGCGGTACAGTTACCCCATTTCTTTTTCATCTTTATATTTTCACTCGATTCATTTATCAAAACGAATTTAGCACGATTTTTGTTTTATCTAACAGCATCAATAGAGAATATATCTGAAACTACTTTCACATCGAAAAACATAGCTCAAATTCTCGAGTAGCAACGCGAAGAAGGTATAGCTGAAGGGAGATCTACTATAAATCGAAAAAAGTAAACGTTTTTTTAATAAAAAAAGTCAATTTTCCATAACGTGGAGTACAAAAAAGCCACTAGTTTTGTCAGTCTAATTTGCGGGTATGTAATCATTTACATAAGTTGACAAAATTAAAAAACTTTTTTCCAGAACTGCTGAAAATTAAAACTGTAAAAATTTTCAAAAGCAGAGCGAATCCCTACACCCTAATTCACAAATTCTGATATTTTTTATATAATTTCTTGAAAAAAAGGAATAAAGGAGCATTGCGAACTCAGCCAAACATCTGGAAAAAATATTTTATTAAGAAAATAGAAACACCAAAAACATGCACTTTACACAAAAGTGTATGAGATTCTGATTAAGCTCGAAAAAAAAATAGTGCTAAAAAACAGCAAAACGTGACGGACGGCATAAATAAATTATCAAACTTATTACACACATAGTTTTAATTTATTAAATCTTCTTCATTTCTTTTCACACCCGGCACCAATGGATAAGCACGTGATAATGTACGATAATGGTATTTCCATGGATAAGCCGGTAGCTTTCGATACTCATTTCGATAGAGTAATTCAGTTGGAGTTGATTCATTATCATTCACATTGAATTCTTTCAAAATATTATTTGATTTATTTTTATTCATTTTATTTTTATTTGCACAATAAATTAAATATTCGGGTAACTGCAATCCACGATAATCATGATGGGAGACACTTTTAGTTGCACGAACATATTCTGGATTATGTTCAAGAAAACTATGTCTACTACGAAATACATTATTGGGCATTAAACGTTTACCACAACCCTATAAAATATAATAAACATTTAATACAGTGTCACAAGTGAATGAAAAACATTTTCGACGTTTGTGTCAATTATCATAGTTCATCATTCTTTATATATTACTCTTGTCTAACCATCATTAAATAATACTCATCACGTTCCTATTACCTGGCCAAAGTATTCGCCATACATTTGTATTGTGTTTCGATTGTCATGTTCACTACATCGGTTAGAATATTCCTAGACAATAAAGAACAAAAAAACATCGAATAACTTATATTTATCAGGCTTTACTTACCTTCTTAGTATTAGATTTATCTTGTAGGAATGGAGTAATTGTGTTTTCTTTAAATGAATTACTTTGATATACTTGATTTAACATATGTCCAGTTGTTGTTGCTTGCCGACGATCAAACGAAGGATCTGTATAGCCACGCTGTTTAAACTAAATTTTACAAGAAAAATATAGTAAATTAAATGAAAAAACAAAATATTAAATGATGATGTACCCAGTATCCTGGTTCCTTTGCAGTTTTTGGCAAATGATAATCATGCCGTCTGGTAAACGCCCTCACTTTTTGCGATTGCTCATCGTTCCTTCCTTTGTGATCACCGGTGGCTAACAACATTTTCTCTATAAAAAATGAACACACAAAATCGTATTGAAATCGAAAAAACATATTCATTCCCTACTGATGAAATATTACATCAAAGAAGAACACCAGCTGATAGGTCACAAACAAACAAACTCAGGTACCTCGCAGACAACAGTCTTATGCGAATTTTTTTCCATTATTTGTTGAAAAAATACATCTGTCTGTCTGAGTGAATGTGTCAGATAAGATAATCTAAATTCGCTAAACCCGATCATCTATATGATATCTGCTCTTACTCTATCCAGTTAGGCGAGCACTTTACCACAAATTCAATAACATTCGGTAGGAAAACAAATGATTTTTCATACATATTGCCAAAATTAACATTAAAATAACAGAAATATATTAGAAATTGCTATGTTGAATTGTACTAGCGCAAACAAATATTACAAACTCAAATAAATGCATGTGAACAAGTTTTGCTTGAATGTAGACGTACAATAATAGATCTGTTGCACGAGAAAACGAAACCAGTAGTTGTCGATTAGATTATCGAATTTTGAAGACGCTCTTACCGCCAGATATATAGAAACTATCCATATATTCTGTACTTATATCTGAAGCCAGTTTCTGCTAAAAGGACCGGTCCGCATAATCGGCCCACTACATTTTATTGCTTCAAAGTATCCAGAACTCATCAAAGTCATATTATTTCATGATTTCGACCCTTAAGGGTCGAAATCATGAAATAATATGACTTTGATGAACTTTGAAGCAATAAAATGTAGTGGGTCGATTTTAAGTCTTATGCGGACTGGTCCTTTGTACGAACAACGGCATAGCAGATATAATACAACAACAAGATCCTATTGGATACAATCGTGTATTAGACTAGTAGTTCATTTAAACAGTGGTATGCCAAGTAGCCTTTCTTGTCAATTGTAGGATTTTAACTATCGGATAACAAAATGTTAATATTTTGATAGAACATTTTTTTTCTTTAAAACAATAAAAATTGAAATTCTGAAAATTTAGATTAAACTTTTTTTTGGAAATAATCTTTGCAAAATTTTCAATACGCTTGTTTTATCTCTAGCTCTTAACCAATAGTTAAAATCATGCAGTTATCTAGAAATCTACTTAGCACTAGAGATTTTCTTTTGACATGTCGAGCGTATAGAGCATCATTAAAAAATCGGTAGTTTAGCTGAATCTGCTCAAGAATTAATGGATTATATTTCTCATGCAACAGGACTATGGCTGTCATCATCTAATTATATCGAAGAAGAATAGTGGGAATTAAACTGTGAGAAAAACGAGAGATTTATACAAAGAAATGTTGTAAAATACAGGGATATGATTGTGCACAAAATATACACATCTAGTTACATAAATATGGCAAAATAATAATTAACAGAAATACCACCAACAACATAAAATGAATGTACAACTAAGAAAAAGATGATGCTTAAGTCATTTCCATTTTCTCATGAATATTTTTTTATTTTAGTAACGAAAAAGTTTATTTTCTCGTTAACGTACATTTAGACTCGATTCAAATAAAGTCAAACGTACTGCTTCATAAGAAAGAGAAAATTCTTCGAATGACAAGTAACAAAAATTTGTTAATGATCAGTAGAATACAGTCATGATACAATGGAAAATGCTGCTATTCTTCACTCAGATAATATGACGTACAAAACGAAAAAAAAAAGTGTTTAAAACAAAATAAAAGTTGAAGAATGATGGCAAATCACTCGGGAACAGCATAATTTATTTTTTTATTCAAAAAACCAATTTTTGTTCTTTACATGATATACACTTTTTCTGCTTGATTCAATTCATACGTATCATTTGTTCTTGGACATATTATTTTACCATCGTTTTCTGCTGCGATTGTTTTCAGTGTCTGAAATAAAGAAAACAAGAAGGATTTTTAAACCTCATTCATAAAATACTTAGCTTGGGAACAGCCGTAATGAATACATCTTAGGAAAAAACTTATCTATTATGCAAAAATGAACTGTTTTTTTTTTCTTCAAAAATTTCGTCTCTGTACAACTCATAAGAATATAAAAGCTATGTGCATGTTTTATCTAGCGTGCGCCAGTTTCACAAGGTAAAGTCTTTCAAGAAAAATAGATAACTTACTTTTGAACCATAAACATAACCATTTGGCAACATTAGCGGTGGATTTGATTCATTGATTGGTTCACGGTTATGTGCACAAATTAATTTCGATACCGAACAATGTGCATATGGTAATGATTTTGCGATTGCTTTCAAATGTAGATTACATACCGGACAATTTGGATTTTTAACAGATGTTACTTTATCGAAACATGTACTGAATAAAACAAAAGAATATAGTTATGAAAGTAAATATTTAATAGTTGCATTAAATAACATACGGTGTTTTTAATGCTGATAAACCACTTTGTAAAACAGCTGTAAATTTACTTTGTGTACCCATCTGATGTAATTTCAAATTGTCAATACGAAATTGTTCAACTAATTTTTGCCAACGATTTTCATCTAACATACTCTAAAAAGAATATGTTAACACATATAAAATCTATTCAGGTTAAAATAAAAATCTTTTCAATGTACCATGTTGAACAAAGAATGAAAATAGAATTAAAAAATGAGTATCAGCTTGCTAACGACGAATCATCCTACCTGATAACAGGCATTTGGTTGTCTTAATACCAATAGACCCATAGCCATTCGAAATTCACTTGTATGATTTTCTGGTATTTGTGTTAAATATTTACGAGCATGTTCTACAGCTTCTTTCAATCGTTTAGCTTTAATAAATTCAATAAACTCTTGTAATCGGATACAAAAATCTAATGTACACTAACGAAAAACAAAAATAATATGAAAATTAATTAAATGTTATATCTATGATAAACTCTTACGCCATTTTTTTTTAATTTTGTTTTATTTTCATTAAACCAAACCAAACATTTGCTTGTATCACGATTCATCAATGAATCTTCAATTTCTTTAGCTGTTAAAAATACTTCTGAATTGACCAGATCCTAGAAGAAACGACAATGAACTAAATAAAATTTTATCAGTATCAACGCCACAAAAACCATAAGTCTATATTCAATACTATTTGACATATATTCAAGGAAGAAAACGAACTTCAAATTAATAGAAATTACAAAATTACATAAAACGTAACCGTTTGTTCATGTACGTGCATAGGCAAAGTTCTTGATTTGGGATATTTTTTCCAATGTTAATACATAAAATTCTTTCTACATTCATTCATCCACCATTATCACGCACAGAGTTTCCGATTAGGATAGGGAATCCGGAGACATCCCCATCAAAAATGCATAGGAGAAATCCGTGGGGAAGTCCTGAGGAGCCCACTCCCTCGGAGAGGAAAAAATTCTTTTGTTCGAGGGGCGGGTGTAGAACGATCTAAAACCTAGTGAAGTGGGATCCTCATAGGATGAAATTGCAAGCGTGATCGTTATTCAACAACGATCGAATTTAAATCTACAAACGGTAAACAACATTGTTATCGGCTGTTTTTTTGAAAACTAAACATGAAATTTTTGATTTATTTTTGTCTGTATTACTAAAAATGTCATGAAAATAAAACACGACGTTGAATGAGAAAGAAAATTAAAGAATATCGACATTGAAAATGAAAAAATCTGCTACACGATGCGATTGTGAAAAATGGCAAAGTAGAAAAAAAATTTTCAACACGGGCGGGATTGGTTTCCGAAAAAAAAGAGAAATAAATCACAATCATCAAAAAAAAGAATCTAAAAGATTACCAGACTCGAAATGGACTCGGAACTCGGAACTTAATGTTAAGGACTCGGACTCGGATTGAATTTTTAAGGACTCGGTATATCCCGGACTCGTCCATCCCCCACAGTGTGCAACGATCGGAACATTTACCCAAAAATCGAAAGTGCGGTTTTTCAGATTGAGATACTGAATAATATACTTTGATACATGAGCTATCTAATGCCGAAACAGTTTTGATTCTAACTATAAAGGATCGTCTGAAAACACTTGGTCAAAACGGATGCAGAAAAGATGGCACTGGTTGAAAAAAAAAACTTTTCTATAAAATAATTATGAAACTATAATTAGAAGTCATCCACGAACTGAATCTAGACGCGTTTTACTACTTAATAATGAAGAACGATTCCAGTTTTGACCTAAAACATCACAAAGAAAAATATTATTTTCGAAACAAGCTTAGTTTCCTAAAGCATGTGATCAGTATAATGAGTTTGCTAAAATTCACTAAATCACAACCTGACTCAAAAATATACCCAAAGGCTCGTCCTTGTGTCCTGTAGCTATAGTGCATGCATAAACCTCCCAGGCTTTTCTAAAGGTTTTCCAAAAACCCTTAGGGTTTTTCGATAAAATCCATGTTTTCCGGTCCGCAAACGCTTTTATTGATAACTAAGATCATATTCGGAATCAGCATAAAAAACTACATCGAACGATGCATGACATAAAAATGTATCAGAAAAAACTGTTAAGCAACAATAAGGTTCCCTCTTATAGATGACTGGTCAAAACGAACAATTTTCTAAAATAAATTTTTCTGCTTTAAAATGGTTCTCTGCGCAACAGGCAATGATTTCTGATCACGGAATACCGTTTTTGATGAAAAAAATCTTATCTCACCATCGAATGGTGCGATTTTCTAGAAGCTAGTCTCTGGAATACAATGAAGCACTTCGAAATTTTTTACTTAAACCATTAGGAGCATATATGAAAAGTTAAAAAAAAGTGCTGTTCTAAACTCCCAAATGCTTTTTTAAAGTTATAGCATATGTCCGTATCACAAGGGCGAAATTACACACTGTGACAAATTCTAAAAAACTGAATCTCCCGTGCATCTCTGTTTCTCCACTCTAAGTTTTTATTTTGTCCGCCAAATTTTTTATTTTGCTCAAAACTTGTCGAATGTTTCTGTGAGTACAACAAGTGTCACGATTATTCTGCAAATAAGTGATTTGACAGACTGTAAGAGACCAACAGTTATTACGAGCAGCTAGTTTAAAACACTTGCAACCGATAAGCTATCTGTCAAATGAACTGTTAGATAGTCTTTTAAAGTTAGATTGTTTATCAAAGACTGACATACACACCAATTTTTCAAATCTCTGTAAAAAAATAGACTATCTACCAAAAAAAATATTTTTACACTCATTAAAAACCACTAGTCACTTTTACACTTCTTCTTTTCCCTCTCTTTTACACACTTACTTGTACGCCAGTTGCTTTTGCTAGTGCCATTGCTGTTTCAAAACATTTTGTTCGAAATAGAAAATCAACAAGAATTCTATCATAACGTTGTTTTCGCCATATTTCTGATTTTGATGCTGAATTTTTATCATATTCTTTAAGATGATCAACACGACGTTTAACACTTTTTAAACATTCTAATTCATCATCTTTCAATTCTTGAGCCTAAATTAAATGACCAAGTATCAATATGTAAATAGTTTTATGTAAATTATATACTTTTCGTTTTAATGTCATGCATTTTTCTAAACAAAGTTTCAAACACTCTAATGTTGCTTGCGGATTTGTTGTTGTAAAACCATTTTTTTTTTCTAAATCATTAACACTTGACATTAATGAAGCTGAATCACGATCAATTTGTTTTTGAGCATGACGGTAACGTTTATTCAAATGTTCATATGGAACCTTAAAAAAAAAGAAATTATTAAGAAATATAGACACCAGTATTTAAAAATGCATATGCTCATTCACCTTGACAGTTGCATGTTCAAGTACTCGAACATCATCCGGCGTCGTTCCAAACATTGTTTTATTAGAATAATGAAAATCTATGAGAAAAATATTCAACATTTGTTTATAATAATTTGTATTCAATTATTTCTAATGCTTAAATAGTACAACTACTTGCTGGTAGAAGAAAAATTAAATCACTGACTTTAGAAATATTATGTTTTCACCCTTACGTTCTATTCTCTGATGAGATTGTTAACATTCAACTATAAAAAAACAAAACAACTAAACTCGTGTTCTATTTTCACAAACTGCAAAAAGCTTTTCTATATTTATTGCAAAAAAAAAAAAAGAAAAAAAATTACTTTAAAGTGCAAGAACAACAAAGAGAGAGAGAAAGAGAGAGAAAAATTCAACACTAACACAGATACGTAGAAAATCAACAAACACAAATGTATTCTTTGAAAATAAGTAAATCTATAGTGCAGATAGACAAAACCGAAAGAAAACACGGTTTTTTAACACTTGTCATCATACAGCAATAGTGACAAGAAAAAAGAAATGAAACTTAAGCAATTTACAGAGTATTTAGCAATGGAATGAATCAAAATTTGAACAACATACAACATATTTATCTTAAATTCGAGGAGAAGAAAAAAAAATCATTGATCTTCTAATGTTTTTTATTATTTTCTTTTTATAAAAGAAAATACTCATTTGATACAAAAACAAACAAAAAAAAACATTCGAGTGCTAAGTAAGCGCGCGCTTTCTCATTTCTATACAAAAAGAAGAATAATAAGAACTTTTTTAATACAGTTACAAAAAGAAACAAATTCTACATAGGGATGAGAGCGAGAAAAAACTAATAAACATGTGGTACAATCACTTTGTAGTGAGGCAAAAAAACGAGAGATAAGAATGAAATTCGTTGTCTTCCTCATTTAAACGCGATTAAATAATGAAAAGAAAAAATACACGTACACATGATATCTAATGTATACTGCTACTATCAGACGTATTTGCATCGGTTATTACATTGGTAGAAGATGCTGATGCTTCTTTTTTCGTTTCATTTCCACCAATTGAAACAGGAACAACAACTGATGGTGGAGGAATCAGACCAGCGGCTACTGCAACTGCTGCTTGTTGTTCTATAAGACTGGATGGTGGTAAAAACGGAGCACCTAATGGAAACAACGATGATAAAGAAGTGCCATTCAAACCATCATAAGCTGATCCTAAATGAGAGAGAAAAATATACACTCTGTCATGTAGAAATGTCAGAACATCTTGTTCAATTAGTAGAGAATGACTTTAAAAATAATAGATTAGAGCATGGATGTGATAGAATCTACACACATACACACATACTTGGAACGTTTAAGTAATCACGATTAACACAATAACGTAATGCGCTCGGTAATTTTCCTGTAATACCACGTCGAACTTCATGTGCGGCACATTCACGAATTTCTTGTGCACTCGCTTCACTATACCATGATGTTCGAGGGGTTACAATCAAATTAATAGCATCTTTCAATGGACCTAAATAGAATAAGTACGTATTGATGGATCTACAATTTTTAATTCGTATTATTTTTAATTCTAACCTGCTTGAATATTATATGGTTCATTTTCTAATACATCTAATGCAGCACCACGTATTCTTCCATCTTTTAATGCGGTTGCTAGTGCTGTCTCGTCGATTAAACCTCCACGAGACACATTGATTAGGAACGCACCTGAAATTTAAAAAAATTGAACAGATTAAGAAGGCGGATCAACATTATAAATGAGAGATGATAACAATTCTGGCATTTCACCACATCACGAAAAGACTTCTACGATTTGAGTTTTTAAGTGGAACAGTAAAATATTCTCTGTTAATATTGATAAAACGATTCAATATATTTTAGATTTACTTGCCGACAAAGTCTTATACACATTTTTAACCAGGAAATGCTTTTTTTGAAAGAAAATAAAAGTAATTTGTTGTATTGTGATAGACCCTACAGAAAGACATACAGAACATACCCGGTCTCATTTGTTTAATTGTAAAATCGTTGATCATATGATGATTATGTTCGTTTAACGAACAATGTAATGTGATGCAGTCACTTCTGAATAGTAAGTCTTGTAATGTAAATACTCTGTTGATACCTAGTAAAGAAAATACTCACGTCTGATAGTTTGACAAATAAAAGAAATATTGCACACATACCTAATACTTTATCGACACCATCCGATAAATAAGGATCGAAAAAAAATACATTGAAACCAAATACTTTTGCTCGTATGGCAACAGCCATTCCAACTTGTCCTAATCCAATAATACCTAATGTTTCATTTCTTATTCTTGCACAACCGGTGGCAGATTCACGTATTTGTTCTGGTGTTGATATACGCTTGCCTAGATAAAAAAAGAACATTTTGATATTTGTGTACCTATGCCAGTTTTTCATCTTACCATCTTTAACTTGGTTTGCTAAAAATATCGTACGTCTATATAAATTTAATATCATACTAAGCGTTGTATCAGCTACTTCTTCCACACAATAACTTGGTACATTACATACAGCTATGCCTAGAACAAATATCAACAATATGTTAAAAAAACATTCGAATGTTTAATATACTTAAAACTCACCTTGTTCACCCGCTGCTTTTATATCGATATTATCAAATGCACTACCGATTCGAACAATTAATTTAAGTGCTTTAAATTTAACTAAATCTTCTTTCTTCAATGTAATCGCATGCCAAACAAGTGCAGCTGTTGCTTCATTCAATACCTAGAACAATAAATAATTGAATATTCAAATTATGTTTGTTAGAAAAAAAATACCATCATACCTTTTCATGTATTTCAGCTGTTGATTGTGCATCACAAAACGCAACTGTAGCTATGTCTTTTAATATTGGCATCTCTGTTGAACAATCTCGACCATCTAAGAGAGCTACAAGAGGCCGCGTTTGCCCTGGACCGTTCGGCATGGCCATTCGATTGGGAATTGCTTAAAAAACAACGAACCTATTTGATGATACAAATATTAATTTATGCGAGACACTTACTGGATAAAAGATTATTATTTTCTATGCGAGGTTTTTTCGCTTGAATGCCGGGACTAGACATGCATATATCTACAAAAGGAAGAACAATTCAAACCGAATCGAACACGTTTTGTCACATTGGCAGTGTAAGGATCACTAAGCTACCAATAGAGTCATGAGCAACGGAGAAAAACGTAACCCTCCGGCACGGGAAAAAGATGATTGACAGAACGAATTCTGATAAATCTTTTTATTGTTGTTTTTGTTCTTTCATCTTTTTTGTTCGTGCATGCTTGATTAGTTTTTAAGGACCAATGAAATGAAGTACACGATCCTTCTTTGCGAAAAAAGTTATCCCGATAGATTTTATGTTATCTTAGATCAGCTATCCAGATAGTTATTCTCATATATTTTGTTGGTTAAGTTTTACAGTTTTTCATCTCTGAGTCGATATAGAATTCACTAATTTGTTAACTTTTTAAGCCAAACAACTGCCGTCTAAAGGGCCATTGTCTCACCTGAAAGGTAAAATATAAAAGGAAGAAAAAAATAATCGTTGATTTACATCTACATATATGATACAGGATTTTAGAATCTCTTAGAAGCAAAATTTGTTCTCTGTTCTTGGCTCCTGCGATTGAGAAAAATATTTTTTGCAACTAGAAAGAAATTCAAAAACGTTTACTCTTTTTTAATAGATCTTGTGGCATTCTTCCTTAAGGTCAGATAAGGGATGAATCTGTTAAGATGCCAAATAACATAGCGCAGCATTCACTTTATTCAGACAGCAGTATGCACTGAAACTTAGTGCAAATTTGAATTATCGAGATAAACTGTCAAAACTTCGTGTACTTGATTCTCATTATGCACAGTTTTCATTCTAGAGCGACAACGGTAAAAGGATTGCATGTATGATTCACTTTTTTAATACGCTTTATTTATTTCGTTCTTGTACACATTAACAATCGGATCCACATTTTTTTTAATCTAGTTTGACTTTTTTTTAGTATTGCTGTTTTGACAAATTTGAATATTACTGAGAAGCTTTTCAAAACAAAAGTATAAAATAAAAATATAGAAACTTAGTCTTGAGCGGAAACGAGCCTCAAAGTTTGTCTTAAGCCCTTTGAAGATGTAGGATTTGATAATTCGATTAGACATACAGCGTGTTAATTCAATTTTTATAAAATAAACGTTCTTTTTATCATAATAGCCATTTTATTTTCAGAGTGACACTGTTTCTCTTGCAAAGATCTTGGCATGCCCGCTGCTTTGGATGAAGATGAAGAACTTGAGCCATTTGAATATGGTGATACAAGTAATGGTTATAATGCAGATTTTTTTGATGGTAAGGGTCTCTGTTCTTCGGCATCAGTGATCTTTATTATTGTTTCCATGTGACTCTTGTTTTTAGCATCCGTTGCCGAACTTGCCGAATTATTAAAAGAAACCGAGGATGATTTTACCGTTAGTTTACAAGATACATTATCAAACATATTTTCTAATCAAGCAATATTTAATTTAGCTTATGTAAAAAAAGCACCTAATTGTTTGATTTTCTTCATCCATTGATGCATTCTTTTTACCATTTTAGTCTCACGATATTTTGCTACGTTTTATTCAACAACCAGAAATGATGAAGCCAGTATCAAGCGATAATTTATCATTAATAACATCTGTGATGAAAGATTTAGAAATTGTCGGCATGACAAATCTAGATGCACGAGAATTAGAAACAATATTGAGAAATCCACACATGCGGGTACATTAGATGTACTGTTTATCATAAATAATAGTTTGTTGTATTTATTTATTTTTTGCAAAACAGGTAATAATGGATGCACATCAGTCAATAGCAACTAGAGAATATGCAGAAGAGCAATTACCTATTGGATACTTACCAGAACCTGTTCCAGGTAATGTACGTTTTTCTCTTGTTGTTTAATTATATATGACACTATTGATCCACAGTTGTTTGTTTTTTCAATGACCATAATTTCATCTTTCTGTTTTTCAGATATATCAGCGCCGCCATTTGTCTATCCGGGTATATATGCTGCCAAAATGATCGGTATAGAATCAACTGGCGAAGAACATTTGGTACGGCTTGTTTTTACTAACATAAGATGTGCATTGATATTTTATTTTCTTGGTTTAGGGTATAACGGTGAAGTTAAATGAAACTGGAGATTTAGAGATAAAACGCATTGTTCAAGGGGGATTAATTGATAAACAAGGTAAATTCAAATGTTATTTTAAACTTTTATTGTTTTGGCTTAAAATTGTGTTCATCAATGAGTTTGCAGTCGTCTAAATCGTTTTTATATTTATAATCAAGTCACCTAAATGAAACGGGGGAATATTTGCTTTCCACCAGAAAACGTTCCATAGTTCCTTCGGCTTGGTTTCGGAGCTATGCGTAAAAGTGAATTTTGAGACTGATCACATACGTTGAGAGCTCAAAAGACACATTTTTAGTATCAGTTTTCAACGCTGAATTTGCAAAAGAATGTTTGAGAGCTTCAAAATAAAAAGGGGAAAAAATATTCAACTTTTTTCGAAACGAGAAGGTTTTTCGAATTTTAAGACCCTTAGCGTATTTTCAATTTTTCGATGCTAAAAAGTGCATTGGGAACGCTAAAAAGGCGATATTCTTGTTTAGGGTGAAATTCTCTATCGAATGATATATGAATACACCAAAAATAAAATCGTATGGAAACTTCGAATTACGTGCGCCTTAACATAATCGCGATCGTTTTATATGTTCTGCTTGAAATATATTCTAAATTTTCTAAGTAATCTAATTTTCTCTGATTGCCGTTCTATTCAAGTCAAACTTCTTTACTTTACTTTACGAAACATTAATTTCTGCACACGAAATAAAGGAGGGAAGCGGATATAGCGGTTTTGTGGCCTCAATTTTTTTCGAATAAAAATTACATGGTTGAACTCAGCATCAAATTCTGAACAAAACTGTCGCTTCAGATTTTCAAAAAACTCACTTTCATTTTTTTCAAAAATTTTAAGGCTGAGGTTCCCCCTTTGCAACATCGAAAATTTTTTTTTCTTGAAAGTGGTTACGTGACACATCACTAGACGCAGAATTTAACGCTAATAACGAATATGAGGTCAAAATCTGGGAAAAACTTGTCCTTCACCGAGAAAACCGCCATCTATCGAAAAGTGGCCAAAATGACTCACCTTCGTTTTTTCTAGATTAAATGCTCGGACAAGCAACAACAGACCTCGAAACACACAAGATCTTACTGGCCGCGATTTCAGCTTTCAGAATCTGTGTCGAAAAGTTTGGAAAAAACCATTCTTCAGGTCGAAAAGGTA